GGAGAATCCCGGGAGGAAACGCACCCGCCGGCCAGGTTCCTGAATCTCAGGCACAGGCGGGAAAGAACAGCTGTTAAAGAACTAAACACTGTAGGAATGATCGAAAAATCGTGCTCAATTATGTTTGAGGGTTAGTAGTCAAATGATGGCTACAAAATTTTTTATGTTTCATGGCTTACTGGGGCTGGGAAAAAAATCTTCATGGGGCCTGAGCACCTCCGTTCCAAGCTATGATGCATATGTTTTTTAAATGTGAATGTTTCCACTTGAAGACTAGAGCATGGCGGATTAAAATGCAGGCAAAACCTGAGGGAGAGCTTGAGACCGCACAGATGACAACTCCAGGAAATAGATTAACCGCAGCCAGGGCCAACTTTGTACTCAGTTTGAAATGCAGCTCTTCTCGGAAAATGCTTAATACAACAGTGAGAATCTAATGGAGGTTGGAATTTAAAAATCCACTTTTGTGATATCTGCTGTTACAGTAATATAGACATACTGTAAATGTATTTTAAAATATATAGCCCGTTTAATTCCCCACTTATAAATGGCCCAGAAATAGAGAAAGAGAGGGAGAAGGAGAGAATATTACTTTCCCCCCCTTCGAAGCAAACGCTTTATGAAGATCTCATTGGAATCCAGCAAATGATTAATGTGAAGATTTGGGAGGAAATCTGGGGAGCTGTATTAAAGCCTAGATCTCAGGTTCATTTCGATCAGCCAGCCGTGAACTCTGGGCCGAATTCATTACACTTTAATAGTGCTGGGAGAGGAAGAAAATGCAATTTCTCATTCCATTAGAAAACTAGAAAATACTCTCGGCTTGTCCCCCTATTAAGATGTGGCAGGTGACAGGGCCATTCTGGGGGACACGGTCAATGGAATTACAGCACATTATTTTTGTTCCTATAAAATATTGAAAGGCAAGCCTGACTGTGCAGAAGTTATTTCACTGATTTGGTTTTTATGTAAATAAAATATTGAAAGTTAATTAATCCGTGCTGGAGACTAATGATTATGCTTATTATATTGCATTTGATCGCGTCATTTGCATGATTCTCGCATTGCTGCTTAATAAGCCATTCCAGGTTATAAATAATTCTGAAATTGGTTTCTAATAATGGCATGCTATAAAAGGAATGGTTTTATTATACTAGCCAGGAAAGGGGCGCAATATCAGGCATGGAATTGGCCTCCATGTGAGTAGAGGTGCTTTAATAAATACTTAAAAGTATGATATATACCAGGTATAGATATAAAAATAAGTATGTTCTACAACCAGAGAGCATCCTTAAAAACATACAATTGCAATAAATTAAATGTTTAGATCATTTTAATCAGTGCAGTGGCCCACGTACTGAAAAGAATGTGTGGCAATCTGTTAACTATAAAGAAAACTATGAAGTACTCATCATATAAGAACATAAACCAATTACTATTTAATTTAAATTTGGTCAAGGAGCAATGGTAGAGTGAATTGTGAAGTAAATACATTTTCCATAAATTATTTTTGCATTACATTACATAATGTTAATCATTTTGAAATGTTAATTAAAAAGGTTATGTTGATCTGATTACTTTTTAAACTATGGAACATTATTTTTAAAAATATTGAAATTGCCATTCTATTAAATTGTTCCTATCAGCAGCCTCGAGCTATTATCTTTGCTTGAACATTATGCTAGAACAATTAGAGTACTTTGTCTCTTTCTTCTTGATTATCCTTTTGTGTACTCTTTGAAAATAACTGTTTCTATTACATAGTTTGTATTTTATTTCATTTACAACTTTTTCTATTAAAAGATTCACTGCCGTTAACCTTTGGAAGATCTAATAAAGTTTAATAGACCTCGCTTTCTTTTTTCTTAAAGTCAGTTGTCCAATTATATTTTATTTGTGATTCTAAGTTCTATTTTAATTTAAACTAATTATCAGTATGCCTAGGTTAAGCAACAGCATTTAATTCGTTAAAACAAAAATTATTAGGTAGTATTTCTCTTGAGGGACAAAGAGTCAATTTATGAATTTTGAACCTACAAGATTTTAACAAGCCGGTGTTGTCATTAGCAGTAATGGAGGTGTTGAAATGGTATACATTTTTTAAAGTTTGAACTGAACTTTAAGATTTTAAAAGAGGTTCAAGGTTAAAAAAAATGTTTTTAAGAGCATCAGTAATACAATGCAATTAACATCCTTTTGATGCTTAATATCAGTGGCCCATGGTTCAGGGTTTCCAGAGTTCACTAAGGAAACCACCCAGACTTAGATTGAGTAAAAATGTTAATCTATGTTATACCTGAATCTTGCTTTATTAATTTTACCACTTTAAGTACCCAATGACATTCATTCGCTGACTATTTAGAACAGAAGCACATACTATTTTTCCGGGTTATACTATCTTTAAAATGCCCAATGGAAACAGAAATATTCATCGCTGTGATTATGGACACCTTTGTCTCTTCTTAGATCAAAGGTAAAGTAACTGAGAACTTTAAACTTAATATGTAAAATAATCTAGAGCTGAGGTCGACCCCCAGGATTAGCGGACAGAAAATAACCACGTCCAAGACAGGAAAGGAAGGTTTTCAGCACCCTGGATAGCTCGTGATTACGTGGGCGTCTTGAAATTTCGCCTCCAGCACCTGCCCACGAAACATTTGATACAGTGTTTTCTTTCTTTTAAAAAGCGGGGGAAATGAGATTCGTTAGACTTATGCCTTTATTTACCAATTGTCAGGAAAGCTGTAGGTGTGATTTCCTGTTATATATAATTTACAACTTGGAGGACAGTTGGCCAAGAACAAGGGGTCAGTAACGATTTTGTCTATTATCTGTCAATCTTTCCTGCCCTAAATGTCCTGTCTTCAGATCCGATATCCAAAACAGAAAGCCTTCACTTTCCCCCTGTTTCTTGAGGGGTAAACCAAGGCTCCGAGGCTGTGGGGATCGCTGCAGCCGCTCTGGGCACATTGGTTGACCACCAAAGTTCCAGTCCTTTGGAAGCATCAAAGCTGGGGCATTTTGCCGGAGAGCGGTCGGACTGATATTCGGGAGAATAAAGGCCCGTGAAACCCAAGTGTGGATCCCTTTTATAAGGTGCCCCCCACACCTTACTTCTCCCCTTTTCATGTTTCCTGTTTAATTGTTGCATCCCCCCATTTATCCAGACGCTTAGCACAGACTCTTTGGAGGGTAACGAAATACTTGTCAAGAACGCAAGCGGGAGTGGAAGTGCGCGCTCGGCTTAGCCGCCCGGGAGGCCGGGGCGCGGCTCCGAGGTTTCCTCCCCGGGACGCAGGCCGCCGGCCAGCCGGCCAGTGCCCGCCTCGCTTTGGAGGAGTTGCTGCCGGGCTGCGGTTATACTGGCGGGAGACTGGGGCCCTGCCTGTCCTTTGGAGGACGGCGACCGGGCCAGTTTCGGGGCAGAAGAGCTAAGTCGACCCAGGAACGCCGAGGCTTCCGAAGAG